GTTTCCAAATGATAAGGGTAGTGAATTAAAAATTTAAATGGCGTTGTAAATTACTGATTCTTTGACCAAGGTAGATTTAGGTATAATCAAAACCAAATCTCCAAAAAATCTAGCAGATCTAGTAATATTTGTATAAAAATCTTTTACCAATTTTATTACATTCCTTAATAATTGTTGTAATGTTTAAAGACACAAATACAAATAATGAGGGCATACGTAGATTCTCTCATGGCATATATATGTGTGTATCAGGTGCCAGACTATGTTCGTAATCTCACGAATCATAGCTACTCAAATTGAATCAATTTCATTTCAAATTGAAACGTTACGTTGGGCCTGCTCGGCGCGTGTCGTAGCCATAGCAACAACTTGAAAACTAAATCGTCCCTATCATTACAAAATAATCATCTCGACATTTATCATACTCTATCCTTTTCATCTTTTGAATTGCTGTGGAGACATCGACATCAGTCGCTAGGGAAATCAACAATGGCAGAAAGCCAATAGATTAACCATGGAAATCCGCAATCGCATTATTAACTAGCATCATCGTAGCATGACGGATTCATATTGACGTAAAATTTTAAATAAGTAACGTTTATTCATAGGCGTCCGCAGGAAAAAAGTAAGAGGGGTGGGCAATCAAAAAAGTTTCCGTTTGTCAACAACTAAATTGTATATTATGTATATGTATACAAAAACTAGAATGAAATGCATTCTATATGATACTCTTCACAGTTAAACAAACCCCTTTTTAACCCCCCATTTTTATCAGATTTTTTTTAATCAATAGGGTTCATCCCTCTATAAAAGCTTTATTTTTCCGGAAGAATTCAAGTTGATATCGTTTTTTGTTTCAGAATCAATAGACTTTATCCCCTTATAGAGCTTGATATTTCCTGCTTTTCTTTTAAAATAACAATCCATGTTTTTAATCTCAAACACCACCTCATACAATATTTAAAATAGTTGTTTTTATGAACACCATTACTACTACCACAATAATACCAAGTGCAACTTTTCTAAAAACAGTATTTGTTCATCGCCTGCCGATTGCTAGTTATATATGCAATGGTTTCTATATTTTGAGGTGGGAGCATTAGAAGAGATACTTGCTATGAATTTCCCCTGAAACTAAACTCGAGGTTCAAGAAAAAAGAGTAAAAAAACACTTCTATAGTCTATTTTTATGTATGAGAGAGTAATAAAACAGCATTTCTAATGCAAAACTTAGTACGGTCATTTTAAATATTTTTACAGAATAATCTAAATATTTCCTAAAATTGTAATAAATGTACCTGAGCTATTACAGGTTTTGGGTTTTTTATTGATCCTTTATAAACATAAGCTGTACAGAACAATAGAAAAAGGTTTGGACAGGCCAAAAGCCCTGTGTATTAAAAATTACATAGCCGTATCTTAAGATTATTTTCAATAAGTACCTATTTGCCAATTTTGTTTTATTTTAATTCCAAGAATTTCTTACAGTAATCGAATTATAAGTAGATAAATACCTTCCCAACAAATTTCACCGAAAATGCGATTATAGGTTTTCCATTTAGTAAGGAGGTCCAAGTTGTGTATTCTTGACAGTTTACTAAATGTCGTTTAGTTGCAACTTGCAAGGTGTAGTGTGAATTCTAGTGTGATCATAGAAAATTTGGAAGGGCCGCGTAAACGACAAAAAATCGGTCCTTTAACAGTTAATGAAAAAAACATTAATATTTAATTGTTTTAAATCATTTACAGACAAACATTTATGTAAAAGTGTTGATGACACAGTGGAATTAGTTAGTAGTACGCTTGGTGTTGGGAAATCTACGATTTACAGAGTTGTTAAAGAAGAGAAATGTGGCGAGTTTCAAACAGTACGTAAAGCTCCAGAAAAACCAAAATTTAAATTAGAAAATCTTTTGAAAGAAAGACTTCGAAGGAAAGTGCATGCGTTCTTCTTTAGAAAAGAATTTCCGACAGTAGACAAAGTTCTTGCCACGGTTCGAGATGATAAGGATTACCCTGAAATGAGTCGAAGCACACTATGGAAACTTTTAAAAGAAATAGGTTTTCTATTGAAAAAGCATTCAAGAAAGTCTATTTTAATAGAAAGAAGCGATATTGTAGTATGGAGAAGAAATTACCTAAGGACTATAAAAGAAATGAGAAACCAAAGAAGAAATATATTTTATTTAGATGAAACATGGATCAACGAGGGACATAAACCAAATAAATTTTGGCAAGATGAAACTGTTACATGTCGAAGACAGGCTTTTTTAGATAATTTATCTACTGGTTTAAATCCACCATCAGGAAAGGGGCGCAGACTAATAATAGTACACATCGGTAGTTCAAACGGTTTTGTTAAAGGTGGTTTATTGACTTTTGAATCTACTCGTACCGGTGACTACCATGAGGACATGAATGTTTATGTCTTTGAAGAGTGGTTCGAACAAATTATAGATCTTCTTCCTCAGAACTGTATAATAGTAATGGATAATGCAAGTTATCACTCTAGACTTATAGAAAAAATGCCCACAACCAAGTGGTTAAAAAAAGATTTACAGAATTGGCTAAATTCAAAGAATATTAAGTTCCATCCCGGTTCTGTGAGAAAAGAACTGTATCATTTGTGTTCCCTTCATAAAGAGAAATTCAAAAAATATGAAATTCATGAAATTGCAAAAAATCGTGGGGTGACGGTGGCTAGATCACCACCATATCATTGCGAAGTAAACCCGATTGAACTGATATAGGCACAGATAAAGGGAGAAGTTTCAAGAAAAAATTATTCTTTTAAAATGAGTGATGTTAAACAGTTGTTTTTGGAGGCTGTAAATAATGTGAAGCCTGAAAACTGGGAAAAGGCGTAAATCATACGATTAAAGAAGAAGAGAAAATGTGGAAGTTGGACAATATTACTGATGAAATAATCAAGCCACTCATTGTAAATATTGGTTGCGACAGTTCATCTTCTGATTTCGATTCTGATTTGGATTTGTAGGTAAGAAGTAGTTTTTATATTTAAATTATTATTTATGAATGTAACGTTGTTTAAAAGTCAAAGTTTAAACCCTTATACCTACATAACCTGTTTGACACAATGTTCTTAACATACCTTGCGGAAAAATAAAACATTTTAGAAAAAATTACACTTTTTTACCTTCAGCTGTTTAGAAGTTATAAGCAGGTTAATTAGGTGAAAATATAAGTGTATACTCGAGGAATAACTTCAAAAAATATTTTAACTGTCTACTAAAAGAAGTGTTACGCCTATGGATTACGAACGCTTTATTATTTTAATACTCTCTCATACATAAAAATAGACTATAGTAGGGGAATCCCTTTTAATTTTTAATTTGTAATATTCTCCAGACTTTGTTACTCTTTCCCATCGTCACTTTGGAAACAACACTATTAATAATTGAAACTCAATAGTGAATGGTCAGAGGGTAGTAGTCATAACAATTAATTCCACCCGTATTATTTATTTTATTTTGTTCACATTGTTTTATTAACCAAAAATAGTTTTGTGTAAAACTTCTTGTGAGCGAAACAACCCCAAAAACTTAATTTCCTCTTGACTAAAACAATACACCCCAATTATTCGTCAGATCTCAATCGAAGTGTTAAACGGCTCCTGAAAGATCCCAGAGCTTTTCAAAAGTTAATTGGCCCCTGTAATTGACTCTTGAGGAAATTACCGTCTCTCGAATGAACTCACAGAGCGGTTATGCTTTAGTTCACAAGCGCTGCCTTCTCCAAAGCTTCCCACTCGATATTCATTCAACAGGTTTTAACTTAGTTACCCCCGAGGCTAGGAGTAGTCTCTCGTTATAAAAGAAGAAATTTACAGAATGAAAACGGTGAAGGATGAGTTATTCGTAATCCTTTATTGAATTATTTCTTTAAAAGTGTACATAGCTAGCTTGAAATTTAATATTTTCTGAATATTCTGCAATGAATAATAATAGTCAAATTTTTTTATTAGTACATTTTAAATTTTTTACGATTTGTATTCATTTCTTGCGCAATCTTTTCGTATTTTTATCCAGATCGATCTCCATTATGGTTACTTTTATCTTTTATGTCCTATAAATCAATTAATTTTAATACATCCATATTTGAAAATGACATTTCGTATTTAAATTCGTCCGAAAAACAAACTGTTTTGAAAGATCTCTTATTCTGACGACTTCCTGCGGGTTCTGACGAACATTTTGCTCGTCAACTATTTATTGCTGTACATTTAATGTATTTATTTACTTGAGATGTCCTACTTATACATTGTATATAATGTTTTACAGGATATATATATATATTGTTTATCTATCTACCTATTTAAATATTCGTATAATTAAAACAAATAATTGACATTCTGTTCTTTTCTGTAGTAAAACAAATTGTTAGCTATACTAGATAAACACATTTTCCTTTTTTGTTCTCAATTTCCATGTTTAATGTACCGTCACGTTCTGCGAATTCTTATTTAAATGCAAATTGGAATTAATTGGTTTTCTAAAATGTTGTTAATATAGTCAGAATTAATTAAGGATAAATTTGAGTAAATATAAAAGATAATATAACAACAAGAAACTATCATTTACATAATATAGGTATTTAAAAAAAAAACATGGCATAAATAATACAGCTGATAGAACTAGAAAAGTAGATATCTCCAAATTCATACCCTACTTTGTATGTAAGTCTTTTTCCTTAAAGAAATAAGGGAGAGCTTTTTCAAAGCCAGGAAGGATTCCAAAGTGTGCAAATAAAAGCAATGATATTTTCTTTCATTTACAAAGATTCTATAATGTTAAAATGATCTTGTAAAAATAAAGACGAAACAACAAAAGAGGTTCATATAAATAGAACGTAATATGCTACTTTTTCGTTCTGTAGTCTGCGTAGAATAGATAATAATCATGTGGGTAAAAATTATTATTCGGTATTAATATTTTTTTTATTGATCTCGCAGAAAAATCTAGTAAAAAAGGATAAATTACCTTCAAGGCTTTGGTCGTAACCTTTTGTAAAGAACAACATAGCTTTGGCAGCACGTTCTGGTGTTTTTAGAAGTCCTTGTCGCTCTGGGTTTTCGCCTAGAGATGCTAGCAGCAGTTTGTATGATCTTGACATTTCGGGAAGCATCGCTTCTCTGGTTGGTGGTCGATGGTCTAGTTCCAAGTCATGGTGGAATGTACAGTTTTCGTGACCTGTAAGCAATAAACTTTAATTACCTACATGTCTAAATATATCTGTTAATAAATTAATAGCGCAATACAATGAAACTAAAATAAAAACTATAATATTTATAGTTTTTCAAATGTACCTTCGATTTATGCATAGCTACAATTTAGATTCTAACATTGTACATCTATATTATGTTGGACCTAAAAGATATTATGCCTTTTTTAATTGAAATTTAAGAGAAAATATTTTAAATTTCGCATGACGAAATGTGAAACGAAAACGTCAATCGGAACGTTAAACGCCGCGCCTGCGCAGTGCTTAGGTACATAGGTCAAAGTGTACTCAAGTGACCCATTAACTACTTGTTGGATAATATAAATATGACTGAACTTATTTCTGACGTACAAAAAAAAAAAGTAGATTTGGATATACTGAAAATAGATGAGAAAAAGGCAACTATCTTTGATTGAAACATCAAAAAGTTCGGCAACATTTCTGGTTAGGGTGTAGCGTCGATAATTAAACCGTAAATCGTAGTTAAAACATTTTTATAAATAGCAACTAATCTAAAAACAATAATTATGCTTTAATAAACAAAATATATTAGAAATTTAAAAATACTCATACATACTATTATTTTTAATTACTAAACACAGCAGCAATTATTAAGGTATGCATTAGGTGGGTATTAATAAGTAAAATACCTTTATAAACATAACCTATATCTCATTGGAATTAGTTCCGTATACAATATCTAATATTAAATACACCATTTCAAGGTAACTACGGAAACAAGAGTTGTAGGTAACTTTCCTTGAAAAAAAAAAGTTGATTGATTTTGATTTCATTAAACTAGATCCGGCAGTATACATGCTGTTATTTCATAAAAAAAAAACTAGGATGCCTTGCAATTTATAGGAAGTACTATTTATTTTGAAACCTTGTTTTTTCTTAAAAACTAATTTAAGGCTGTTATTATTACTAATTCTTTTGTATCTATCATAATTCTCTAGGTTCTTGAAATATGCAGGACATTTGGACGTGGATGTTTTGAGGGTCTCTTCTGTGTTGTTATTATATTGTTTTCTTAAGGTTTTTCCTGATCTGTTTTTCTGTCTACTAGTTTATATATTTGAACTATAATCCGATTAAATTTAAAAGGAACGGTTTTGATTATAAATGGCTTAATTTAATGTTGAGACAATTAGTCTCATCTCCAAATATTAATTTATCTGTAATATGAAGCGTTTTGTATCTAACACTTTTTTTATTGAAAGTCGTGTACCTTTTTCGGAACAAGAGGCGCTTTAACGACGGAAATGATTTTCGAACTGTCCAGTTAGTTTTCGGAAAACTAGAAAACGTTTGAATAACATTAGCGTGTCGTTCATGCGTTTCATTTTGATCAGCTTTCATTCTAAATTGCATAGAATACTCTTCCTTTGATTCAAAATCAAGATTCTCGATATTTCCACAGTATACAGTGTGGAAAAGCCAAATGGAATAAATTCATTATTTCGATTACTGTACATATTTATAGAAAATCCCTAAACACGTCTTTAAATTATAAATTGACATTCTTTAAAGTAAAAATGTGATCCCTACCTTCAACTCCATTTGAGTAACAGTTACAACCCCTAATTTTTTATGGGAAGCATAGGCTTGTGATATATCGTTTGAAAGGTCTCTTCATTCTCTATCCAAAAATATTATTGTTTTTAAATTTATTGCAAAAATTAACATAAAAAAAATAAAATCATCTTATTACCGAGTACCTACATTACTATTTCCCGTTTTAGTCTTTATAATAAAATAAGACAGTACCTAAGCAAAAACCATATCAGTGTTCTTTTTTAATATCAATTTTAAAAAATCCTTTAAAAAACTATCACGCGTTTTAAAGCACAGTAGGTTTCAATTTCTGCTTAAATATTATATTTATATTGGTCTTCTATATTATTTCTATGGGTTTACGAAATTGAATTAGACCAATATACCGATTTTTCACTTTATTCTAATTTTTCACAGGTAAATCTACTCTATTTTTCTAGGTTATCAGATTGTACATGGAGAAACAACCTAATATAGGTCATATAATTATCCGGAATATTTATATCTAACATTATGTCACATAAGAATTATAAAAGTAACAATTTTTCTTTAGATATAAGCAAATTAACATTTTTAAATATCAACTATTCTGATTAGACATCGTACGTGCGGCACATTATATAAACAAAATTCTATATCCATATTCTGCAAAGATAAAAACTTTCATCACATATCTATTTATTGTAATGACCAAGGGTCATCAAAACAGCTGTCATTGACAGCATTCGCTGATGAATTATTGATTTAAGCTTAAAAATTAATTAAACGAAAATAATTTTATCTGATTTTATAACGCGGACAATCAAATTGCTAGTCTTAATTATTTCCGTACAATATCGTTAGTTTATAACCTATCGATGGAGTATAAATATGAAAGTAAAAGTATGTTTATTTTTATCACTTTTTAATAATAACCTTGGTATCAGTGCAGTTGAGGTAAAATGTTAATTTTTCCGTCAACTTCATGGTTAAGCTATACACGGTATAGGTTTCTTTAAGTTTTTTCATGTGGTGTTAATAAAAAAGGAATAAAATATTTCTAAAAGTTGACATTGTTACCGATCCATCACCGTCTGCCGCATGAAGAAAGAACGTATCCTTCCTCCATGGTCTGCCCTTTAGAACTTATAGTTCTTATCCCCACAAAAAAAAAAACAATCCTCACAAAATCTCTACAAAATGGGTCTTTAATGGCTTGATATCTTTTGGCACGTTTGGTAAGCGAATAAAACAATTAAAGGGGTAAGTGGATGAAGGGGTTATGTTATAAAAAATAGTTTTTGAGCAATTAAATATTTAATTAGATTCATTGGCATTTTTAGTGAAAAATGTCTTAAGGCAGGCACAGATCTGAGCACGTACGCATATGAAGCAAGCTGAGGCCGAATCGAATGCCTCGTGCGACGCATTTTGTATACACGAATGGTGAACGCACGAGGCGCTGTTCGCCACTGATCCAGTAATTTCGCGAGCATCCAACCGTATACCTAGAACATTCGTAAAATTAAAACAGACACACAGACATCATCGCGAAAATAGTCAAAACGGATTCAGGGGACCTCAAAACGTAAAAATCCGTTGAAAAAAATCATGATTCCTATCCTTTCCTTATATCTGTATACAGATAGGAAAGTAAAAATACATAATTTGAATATATTGCTGTATTTTTTTCATAGGGAAATACACCTAAGGTTAGGTTAGATAGATATTTACATCTATCTAACCTAACCTTAGGTGTATTTCCCTATGAAAAAAATACCTAATTTGAATATCTAATTTGAATTGCAGTCCACCGTCCGACCAGATTTTAGGTCTAGTCGGTGTTTAATCTATATATACCGGGTGTTTAAATTAAAGTTTTACAATTATTAAATACCGGCGAAAATACGTTTTTTATAAAAAAAATCTGATGTGTCCAACACATGACTTTCCTATCTAGTTATTATAGGATTTTCCGGTTATTTTGTACAACCTATTGTAGCACCCCTATAAATGTTTAGAGGATAAACATATGTCACATAACCCCTTCATTATATGAATATTTTGATATAAAGTTGATGGATTTGATATTTTAAAGTAGTCCAAACAAAAAGTAATTTAAAAATCTTACTTTATGTTGCTATATGTGGAAATTCGAAAAGTGTATTGTTGATACGATATTTATATCATGTACGATTACGTCCGTTTTTGTTTTTAGTTTGAATGTAATTATTGCCCAAATTTATAGGTATTGTGAAATTATTAATTAATTAATTAAATAATGATTATTATAACATAGAAAATAATTGAGTATTAGTTGGGTCTAAAATAATGCAGTGATGAATTTTAATTATTATATTTATTGCTTATAATTTTATTTTTGTAACACAGTTGGAAATTTGTTCCAACATTTTTAATTTATTTTCTGACAAATAAATCATGACCTAACTTTATGAAATGTGATATTTCGATGATACTCGAATCTTTTTGGCACTTGTGAGACATCAAAAGACTGGAAATTTTTCGGTCTTTCTAAAAATCGAAAAATCCAATATGGCGGCTATAAGAAAAATGAAAGTTGAGGCCGATTGCGGGATAACGAAAAACGACTGAGACATGTCATATACGCTATCTTAATCGTTTTAAAAAAGTCCGAATAATGTCACATTTTAACAGCTGTCAAATGATTCGTTCCGGACTTGCAGACGAATTACAAAATCCGCCATTTTCGGTTTTTCGGCGATATTTCCATAACCGATTGTAAATCTAAAATGTTTTTATTTAAAATAAAAATTATTATGAAATAGTTTTGAAATTTATCTTTTTACTTTCTTGTTTTTAAAATTGTTGTTAAAAAAAAAATGATAAGACAAATTAAAATTAAATGTTACTTCATAAAAATTTTTAATTATAAGTTTAGTATAAGATTAATAAATTTATTTTATACAATATACCTACTTACATCCTTCTCCTTAATTCTCTATAAATTATTTGTTTTATTGATGGAATTCTAACATAAATATTCTACAAAAATCGTGGCCATTTTCCAAGATTTTATAATATTTTCTTACATTTTTTTAAATTTCTAAAATTTTTTAACATTTTCTAATACTTTCTAACATTTTCTAACATTTTATAACATTTTTTAACATTTTCTAATACTTTCTAACATTTTCTTACATTTTTTTACATTTCTAACATATTCTAACATTTTTAAATATTTTCTAATACTTTCTAACATTTTCTAACATTAATTTCTAAAATTTTATAAAATGTCTTTATTCTTAAGGCATTTTAAATTACAAATTTTATTTTCCAAAATTGTAATTAGTAAATGAGCAACTAAATTTTCAAACAAATTTTTTACCAATCTTCTAGAAATGTTAAGTGTTTAAAAATGTTAATTTAATAATAATAGGTATCAATTCAAATAAATAAGTAAATTTTAAATCGTTTTTTATCTTTATAAAACAGAAAAAATAGTTTTAATATTGATTAGAGTCACTATGAAAAGTAAAAAAAACTTAAAAAACTATGTTAAATTAAATTTAATCAGATCATTAGAATTCAAGCTCACATCTATACCGTACAAAAAGGGATGTTGTTCAAACTTTAACATTCTTTTTAATTTGTTCCGACGCTATCTAATAAATTGGAAAACGAAATGACAGGATTTTACTTTCGCTGTTAAAACGAAAAAACATGTAAAACCGTACGAATAATAATTAATGAAAAGTAGAACGAGCTTCATCAATTTTGTTGATTAATGTCGTTTCATACTTTTTTAAAACGGAAAATTGTTCGAGTCTAATGCGCATGACTGAATTACGTAATACATCACATGTATATATCTATACCTATATAATACGAGCAATTTTAAAAAATAGGTATATTTACTAACAATAAATTTCATAAAAGGAAAGTTGCACTTTCCCAAAAAAGTTTGTAGTTCTGTCAAAAAACGATCATATTTTAAATTGTCTAGAGAGAAACATTTCTACATCCTTGTCCATAATCAGTGCATTCAGAAACTTGCAATTATTGGCTGCAGGATATTTTTTATTTAACGATGAATTTGGAAAAACGATTTTTTAAATCCATATACACTGGATTTTCGTTTACATGGACGTATGTAACGTAAAATAATTTTTGTTAACCTTTGTAGGTATATATTATACGAACTAAGACGACATAAGTCAATTACTTAGATTGGAATTTATTTAAGAATAGACATAAGTCAATCTTTCTTATTATACTTAATTTTTCGGAAAAGACAAAAAACGTATTTTCGCCGGTATTTAATTGTAAAACTTTAATTTAAACACCCGGTATATATATAAATTAAACACCGACTAGACGTAAAATCTGGTCGGACGGTGGACTGTAATTCAAATTAGGTATTTTTTTCATAGGGAAATACACCTACGGTTAGGTTAGATAGATCTAAATATTTATCTAACCTAACCGTAGGTCTAGATATCTAGATATTTAGATCTATATAACCTAACCGTAGGTGTATTTTTACTTTCCTATCTGTATACAGATATAAGGAAAGTATAGGAATCATGATTTTTTTCGACGGATTTTTACGTTTTGAGGTCCCCTGAATCCGTTTTGACTATTTTCGCTGCAATAGGTTGTACAAAATAACCGGGAAAAGCCCATAATAACTAGATAGGAAAGTCATGTGTTGGACACATCAGATTTTTATTTCTACGTCAACTTTCGCCAGAAATCGCGATAATACCATTTTTTATCTCTTTTCAACCCCCCAGGATTTAATTTACTTTTTTTTACTTAAATAAATGAGTTAATTCGACTGGTGTAATATATTCTGAATTAAAAAGTTGACGCGCGATTTTCATTGACCCCCCCCCCCCCTTCCCTCTCCCTTTAAATGAGGATTGGAAAGATTTAGCCGGACCCCCCGTCCAATTTTAGTTCACATAAATAATGGACGCTTCTAAAGATATGTTATTACAAATAGTTTACAAATTTCTTAAATATACCTGGTGTGGTGGACGTTCTTGGAGTTTTTGGCGACCCAGGTATCTCAACATCTTTAATGTCGTAATTTTCCGACCAAGTTCTGGCGAGTAAGGGTCTCGGTTTCTTCGCCTTTACGGTGGCGCAATGTTCACCGTTGGTAGTAGCCATAATATGAGTTTTCTAACGATAAAATAATACTTTCACTAATTCACGTGCAAAGTCACTTAATTCGCGAAATGTCGTGGGTCCAGTACGTTTGCCAGCAAGAGTAACACTGCCGATAAATGATTCGGAGCGTTGACTATATATCGCGGAGAGTTTCGGAGCAGCTCTTTGGGAATTTTCGTCAATATACCGGCAGGGATTTCCTTGGAAATCCACAAGAAAACAGCAGTCTGGTGGTTTAAACACTGGTGTGTCCATTAAGTGCACAAATACGAGATGATTTTTTTATCTCTTTAATTTAAATGATTGATCTACTTCATATTGTGGTTTTATTAAGATGATTCAGTCGAAAATCAAAAAGGAATATTTATTTTTTAAGTAAAAAACACCAAAGAGATTATGGCTATTAAATATCATATGTATTTTAGGCCCTATACTAGGGTTTCAAAAAAGAGTTGGTCATCAGTAGTCATATATACAGTGTGGAACAGCCAAATGGAATAAGTTCGGCGGGATCTCTTTTTACAACGACATAAGAACACTGTCTAGAAAAATACCCACAGGGATATCTTTTGCGCGCGCAAAAGGTTTTTTCTACGAACTCTTACAAAAAGACATCTTTCGCCACAGGATACTTTCAGCGAAAACTTGATTTCGGTCACTAGTGAGAAAAAATCTCATAACGTTTACTTTCGTCTCTAGTGACGAAAGTAAGTTGTTACATATTTTCATATATCAGTCGCCTCGTATAATATTTTGGCAGCTTATAATTATTAATAATGAAATAAAAAGATGCTCATTAAATTCTATATGCGTTTTTACCTAAACTTTAATGAATTAAAGATAAAATAAAAATGTATAAAAATAGTTTCCTGGTTTTCATTTGTTTATTTGAAGTTTTATCACTTTTGAGAACTGTCAGTTTCAGTTCGTCCTAAATTTAACACATTTTCATGATGTCTGAGTCAGAAAGCGATTGTACTCCCCCAGAAATTATTTTTAAAGCTGAAGAAACCTCTTCAGATTTATTACCGGCCAAATCAAAAAAGAGATATGAAGAAATTTATATCAAATTTTTGGACTGGAGAGAAAAAAATAAAGTGAAATCATTTTCGGAAACTGTACTACTAGCATACTTTGGAAAAATATGTTCAAATTTTAAACCGTCGACGTTATGGTCCATTTATTCGATGCTAAGAAGTACACTCTCTGTTAAAAATGATGTCGATATTAGTAAATATCCAAAGTTACGTTCGCTTTTGAAAAGAAAATCTGATAGTTTTAAAAGCCAAAAATCCAAAAAATTTTCGCCTGAAGACATAAAAACTTTCCTAAAGAATGCACCTGACTATAAATATTTAATAACAAAGGTAACGGAATTATTGTTTTTATTTTTACAAATACTTAATACATAACTACTAATATTTGTAGGTAGTAATAGTTTTTGGATTATCTGGCGCTTGTCGTTGCCACGAACTAAAAGATTTAACAATAAGCGATGTAAAGGATACTGGAAGTATTCTGTTAGTTAAAATCCGTAATACAAAAACAAAAGTTCCGCGTTCTTTTCATATTTCTGGACCCTTTTATGATATTTCTAAAAAATATGAGTCTACGTCCTGCAAACATGGATCAAATTAATTCAAGATTCTTTATTAACTATCAGAATGGAAAGTGTAGCAGACAGGTTGTTGGAATTAATAAAATCAGTAAATTTCCTAACGAAATTGCTCAGTTTTTAACGCTTCCGAATCCTCAAGATTACACTGGGCACTGTTTACGCAGAACATCCGCAACGCTATTAGTGGATGCAGGAGGTGACTTGCTTCTGTTAAAAAAGCACGGTGGTTGGAAATCTAGTAGTGTTGCGGAAGGATATGTTGATGAATCCACGAACAGTAAAAACCAAATACAAACCAAAATTTTACAATCTGTACAAAATAAGGAAACTACTAGTTCATCCGATTATGGCGCATCATCATCTGAAATGACATTTAACAGTAGAACAAATATGTCGGCATCTACCTCAATAAATAAAAAGCTTGAGTATGATACCCCGATAATTTTGAACAATTGTTCAAATATAGCAATAAATCAATATTTAAATAATAAATAATATTTCTGAAATATTTAATTGTTGGTTAATTTTTTGTTATTCCTAACACAAAATAAAGCATTTGCTAATGTTTGTTTGTTTTTTTTTTTTTTTCATTTTAGTAGGTACCTACATGACATAATAGAGTTCGTAGAAAAAGTATAGTGTTTTACTCGTCGAAAATCATTTTCATCACTCGTGAAACAATATACTATTAATAAAGCAAGTATTGAAGACATATTGGTTTACACAATGGTTTAACCATTGTATAGCTGCAGTAAAACTTTGTGGAGATTCGTTAGTGCTATTATTACTTGACGGCCATTACAGCCATACAAGAAACTTGAGACGTTATTATTGTTGTTTTAACTGTACGGTATTAAATTATATGCTTAACTTTTGTAAACCTTTATTCATGAAACTTGACATCAATCATATTTTATTTTATTATCAAACATTGATTAATTAAAAACAAAGCAATAAAACATATATAGGGTGAAACATCATTGTATCCAACAATTATGACAAGAGAAAAACGTGTGGTGATTATTTCCTTACCCCCCCCCCCCACTCAACTCATAAGTTGCAGCCCCTAAACTAGTCTTTTATGGGGCCCACTAACTCTATCTGTTCAGATACATTTTATTATTGTATGTCCAATCCTCTTAATAAATTTTATTTTGAAATTGCTTACTACGACCGCAATTTATGTTCATTCAAGAATGGGTTTTCTGGATTCATTTAAATATCATTATAACGGTGACGCGTGCAACTTAAAGTAGGTATAAAAAGTCTCCTGTCCAAACTCCAAACTGTTTTCTTAGGAAATAACCAAGATGGGGAATAACTCGATGAATAAGACATTGGCGGTTATTTGCAAAAAAAAAAAATAACTTTTTCCATCGTCTAATGTTGTAATTAAAATATATAGAGGGTGTTTCAGAAATATTTCAAACGTTTCAAACATAACATTTGATGCACAAGTATTTGTAGTATTTCTGAAATATTTTAGTTAAATATTTCACTGAAAATGTTTCTAAAACATATTATAAATGTTACACAAGAGATTACAAAACGGGTTATGTTTTAAAAGGCCAAGGATTAATGAAAATTCCTCTTTTATAAGAAGAAGAAGAAGATAGGTTATGTAGTAATTTTATTCCTATAGCCAGAGACAATTTCATATTCTAAATTAATTGGAAGTTTGCGTTTGTTGTCGGTTTTTGCCATTTGTTTTGTTTTATTTGTGAGTTGTGCTGTTATAATATGTCTTTTGAAGTTGAGGTAACTTTTCTACAGAAATATGAAGCTTGTAAGTAGATTAGATTAGGTTAATTTATCTCAATTACTGTGGTAAGTGACGCCATTTCGTTTATCAAATTTACAGACAGTTTAAGTGTAATTTTTATGTAAATATAACCTACATTTGTTACTCCCCTAGTTTTATTTATTCTGATTGAAATGCACATAAGAGGAGATGTTTTGTTTAGGCATGAGTATTTTTTTTAATATAGTTAATTTAAATCAATGTCCGGCAGTACATCAATTGAGTATTTCCATATCCGTGGATAGGGAGGCGAGGAACGATGGAATGGTCAGCAAAACGATCACCTGATCTGACATTATTAGACTTTTTATTTTAGGGATATGTCAAAAGTATTGTATACAAAACTAAACCTCTCGACCTAGCTGACTTAAGAAGACGAATAACGCTTGCAATCAATTTAAAGTTATCGATTCTAAGACCAAAAATGCTAGTACATAGAAAGTCCCATAGACGTCCCATGGACGACCCATTAACGTCCTTGACACGGACCGGAAACGGGACTAAAATAAATCGTCCTAGTGTTCACGATAATCGTAAGCCCAGTGGACGACCTATTTAGGTCCCGAACCAATGAGGGACCAAATCAGGACATCCATGGGACGTCCTGTGCTATCTGGGATCTGGCTTAAGGGGTGTATACGGTTAATATATTTTTACAAGGGCAGGCTTAAAGGGTAAATGTCTCAAATATTTTTACTTGTAGGTGAATATATAAGTCGTAAAGGGGCTAAATATTTTTACATGGAAGATATAAATATGCAAATATTATTGTATGGGTGGGAGTAAGGGGTAAAAGGACCAAATATTTAATGTAGCATAATAATTTATACGTTAAAGTAGAATAACTGATCTATCTTTTATAGTGTCTATCAATTTTTGCTCAATATAAACTTAATAAGATCAATTTAATTTAGACTAACTCAATACACCAAACATTTTACATTTTTTTTTATCAGAATTCGAAATTGAATAAAGCGGATATAAATACGTAGTCAAGTGCAACATCCTTCTTTAATAATAATCTCAAGGTCTTTCTTATAGGTTGTGTAACATAACATATTTCCTATTGTATGATTTTTTCTATAAATGTTTATTCATGGCCATGAAACTGAATATCCTGCAAATTTGCAAAATAATAACCTTTCTTGAGATGATCTGCTTTGACGATCTGATTACTTTACAATAAAATTAGTTACACAAGACATTGTTCTTAATTGGTTACGATATAGATATTAGTAATGGTATTTATTATGGATTGGTTAATATGACCTTACAAATTCATGTTGATTTTAACCTTTCATTCAAAACTAATTATTCCTTAAAACTAAACAAATTTAATTGTCGATCCGTTTGTTCACTATTTAATTTTTTATTGTATACAATTTTCCAATCGTTCACTAGCCAAGTAGGTAACCAGCCAAATACTTGGATTGACAACATAAACCTTGTTAAAGAACATTCTAATTCTTGTATTAATTAATTTAGAATAATAATTTTCCTGCGATAATTAAGGTAATTTCCATATTTTATTATTTCGCTAGATTTTATATGAATAAAATCGTAATTTATAGCAAGGGACAAGAAGATACGAATTTACCAACTAACATCTTTGATAAGGTCACCATCCAAGTGCTAACCGCGCCCAACACAGCTTAACTGCGGTGATCGGACAAGAACCGGTA